ACTAACCTATAGAAGGTGTGGTTGAATGTTTATTGGTTAATAATTAATGATAAGAAATGTAGAAAGCACTTGGTTTTTTGTGTTTTAAGATCTAAATACGTATAAGTAGGCAATTGCTAGGTCTTTCATTTACCAGAATTGTGATTTTATAGAATCACATCTCCTTATTGGATAAGTTAAATAAAATTTGTCGTATGAACAAAGACTATTAACATGGAGATAAATTTCTTAAAAATAAATAAATTATATACTGTCACAAATAAAATCTAAATATTATGAATAGTATCGAATAGCATGAAAAGTCATAGTAAGTTTAAATTATAACAAAAATGTTGAATTGTATTACTGAAAACGTATAAGAGGAGTCAGGTTCAATATAATAATTAGTTTGCTTTAAATATGAACATATGTACAACATGCAAATTACAATTTTACATTTAAACTGTCAAAATATAAGGAGCATAAGAGAATCATTTATATATGTATGTATGTATGTATATCGATGCGACTTTAAAATAATTTGAGGCTGTCATCAATTCTTGTTAAAACTCATTAGTATTTATGATTATTGTTAAAAGGAAAACGAAATCATAGATTGTTTAAAAGAAGAATAGAACTATGTTTTAAATCTTGGTATAAATATGACGTCTGGACGCATGACGGCAGAGTCCAGAGTGCAGTGAGTGCGTATCATTGAAGTATGTGATTATGAAGAACCTTCAAGAAATATGGAAGCATTATGAACAATAATTGAAGTTTCATTTTAAAATATCATCGAACGTACTAGAAGAAGTGACATTAGTAACGTCAGCGAGGCTGGCGTCTCTCTCTTTAAAAACAAGGAATTTGTAATAAATCCGATATATACAATATGATGTTTGTAATTATCAATAATATTAACGATACAATATTTTGTTTCCTAATTGACTGTTCATATATATGGTTCAGAAATTTCTTGTAAAAAACGCGGCTCAGCAGATTCGAGGGTCAACGAACTTGCTGAAACAAGTTTCATTATGGCAAAAGTTTTTGGCATTTCGATTTCGAATGGTGTTCTTTGGTATACTTGAAATTAAAAACTATTGCTGTACTATTTCTTTTAAATGAAATTATATAATGACTTACTATTTATTCAAAATACTGCAATACTTTTACAAACTTTATTCTACAATCCTGGAAAATTGCCATTAGTTGTTTAAGAGAGGAAGAAAAAAGCATACCCTGGTAATTCAAAAACTTAAATAACGATTAACGGTCTAATCTAGATAAACTGAGTCTAGCCGACAGATTAGTAAAGGTAATAAAGATATCATGGAACTTAATACTTGAACATGGAAAAGAAAGAGAGGTACGTTTTTTTTGATGATATATGTATATAGTTTAGATTAAAACACCAAGGGCTTCTCAATTTCCTTCTATATTCTAAAGATACGTGACTTATCAATCAAGTATGACATAAAATCTATATTTTGGAACTCTTTTTTCCTTAAGAAGCAAGAAGAACATAGTAGCCAGAATAAAAGTCTACTCCTAAAATCTTCTAATGCCAACCATTAATGTATAAAAAAATACCATTATTTGAATTTCTTTTAAAAATAATCAGAATAACTTTTTAATCAATTAAATAAAATCAAAGCTATTAAAGTATCAACCTTTTATAAAGGTAGCAATGTAATTATTATTAATAAATAACAAAACTAAATATATATGTCATGTCGTGACACATCGCGTGACAAAAGGACATTTAGAAAAACTTTATGTACACACAGACAGATATAGATGACTTTTATATTGAAAATAGTTTTAAGAAATACATTCAGGAATACCTATTATATAATCCGAATTTTAAATCCTTGAAGTGTATTTCAATTTACCAAAGAATCAACACCAATAGTTAGTTATACTCGTATTAGTTATGTTGATTTGAACAAGTATATTTATAAGTTAAATAAAGTTAATTAGATATCCAATACTAATCCGTAGTACACACCAGTTTCCTGTAAGTATCATTACAATTATCATTCATTAATTTGTAACCTCACGACTAATGGAAGAAGATTGACCCTTGATAGATCATTAATATTGGAAAGTATTTTGAAGTGGATTCAAATGTATGAAGAATTGAGTCAAAAACTAAAAACTAGAATCTTTTTGTGTACTTTTACTAATATATTTAACGTTATCTTATTACTTTTATTTAAATGTATTTAGTATTCAATGAACTTACTAACATATTATATAATTACATGTACATAATTAAACATAGAAATTGGATAAGATATGTTATTAGAAACGAATGCCTTTACTTTTTGTTTTTACTACATATATCTTGTCCATTTTAAGCTTACAACTGTTTTATTTTGTTACAAAAAACTAATTCATTCTAGCAAACGGATCCTCATTAACGATATAATAACTGCTACAAGTATTTAATTCTATTTAATAAAGAACTTGTACGCCTTTTTTCAATTACAAATCCCAAGTATAATAAAAATTCATACGATTTACAAACGCGCAAAACATTATGTTCTTGTTTTATCCTTGTGACCCTGGCGAGTGTTCCCGAAGCAAACATCATTCCTAGTTCAATACACACTATGTTTTTAACGCAATCCTGATCTTCATCTTATCTACAATTCACAGACTGGAACGAGACTAAATTCCAGCCATAGTCTCAAAATGTACCTTGCTATCTTTGTGTTTTCACATTGTTGATACGAGATTACTTGGATATTTCATTAAAGTTTTAACATGTGTTAAATGAACGCCACATATGACAATGCCTTATACACGTCAACTTCAACTGTGATGATGATTATATAAAAACATATAAATATAATTCTATATATAATATACGGTATATAATAAGGAGTAATTTAAAAATATATGTACCCTACTTAATGTTATTAAATATGTAACTATTAATGAGGAAAATTTTCAGAAGACAACGAAGGTTCTTACATAATTATGTTATCATAAAGTATCGGGTATTGGTCCCGCTAATATAGACATTTAAAATAAAAAGGAATCCTGGAAATGTTGTCATTCGTACGCTTATCAATTTTGAAATACACATAGGATCGATGGGAACTTTTAAAACTTTATTTTGTAATACTTAACCCCAGCACTCTACCAATATTTGGCTTTCCAGGATTATTTGATTTTTGGCCACTATTTTATATTTAATTCACTGGAATATTTGGCGAATATATATGTATATTAGTTATATTTAAATGCATGTCCTATTTTTTATTTATATATAACTGTATAATTACTATTAACTGTGGGAGTTACTATGGTTTGGAAGTTATTAAAACCTTTTTACTATTCATAATTATCATTATTGTAATCATATTCAAAGTGTCGTACACGCTTATATAGAGTAACTACCTCTAATGGATTTATCGATTTAGATGCGATCTTTTTAATTGAAACTCATTTTTGCGGCTGTTTTCACGTCTATCTTTAGAGCAGTCTGAATATATATCAACTCTTTTTCCAAATTAAGTAACAAAGTTTTTAACATATGATAACTTGATTAATTGTTTGAAATAAAAGAATTGATTTCAATTTGAATACGTAAGGCATAAACTCGATAATATTTGAATCATTGATTATAATATAAATTTCCAAGAACACTCACAAAATATAAATCCTGCCACTTTACCCTGACCCGAAAGTATTGTAACGCGACATGCGATAGACGTAGAAGACATTACAGGCTCTACATTTAACATTTTATATTGTATATATAATAAAACATGAATAACTTAGAATAATTTACATATATTATGTTTAAACTAAATAAAATATAACATTTTATCTCATGTAACTTAAGCGGTGTATCTCTACGTAACCATGTTTACTTGTAATCGTAGAATTGTAATGGTTCCATCCCTTTCATACAACAAGAACATGAAAGAGATAGATGAAACAATATTCTCTTTTAAAACAGTTATCTTTCAAAATGTTAAAAAGATACAAAAACTTCCGATTTTCAACAAATTCTATACAACATGTTATTGATAGGATTCAAACAATCACTCTTCTGATGTTTATATAGAAATATACAAACAAATATAATAATAAAAACAATTTCAATAATACGTAACATAATAAATATGTTATGGGTCAAGTGATTAAGGCAGGCAGTATTCACAATGCCCGCTCTTATTGGGAATTATTCATTATGTCCGATTTATCATTTGGCCATAACATATACACGTATTTTCAGCATTTGACGACATATAAATAAACAATTAAAAGCATACAAAATGAAAGTTACTCATTAATCTAACAGCTAACTAAATGAAATACCCGAAATAATTAAATAGAAATTCTTAATTATGGGTTATCTTAAAACTAACTATAACTATATTGTTGCCATATTAAGGTGTATCTAACATAGAATAATTAAATAAGCAAAACATTTAACAAGAATATGCGAATACAACCCAGACGTTATGTATCAGGGACTTCAACGACACAACGGAATGATGTTCCGACTGGTTTTACATCTGACATAACATATACACATATGTCATATAATATGTCGTAACTATGAGAAAAACTATTTAAGAGACCGGTGACACTGTCTACTCTATCGAGAAGTTTTTATTACTGTTTTAACCTATAACATTAATATATTGTTTTATTTTAATTAATGAGATCTAAGACTTTTGTGAGTTTTATTCATTTAAGTAAAACTAATACTTATCAGTGATCACGGTAGCTGTAAAGTAACCGAAACGTCGGGAGTATGTAATTTATAGTCAAAAATAAAAAATCGCGTAGTAGGTACGTCTGAAGAATATAAGTTTCATTTAAATTTATTCAAGCTGTCCATACTACGCTTGTGGTATGAAATTTATAATTTAGGTAAAAGTTATAACTGATATTAGTGTTTTCTACTCGTATCATCAATCCCTATCGGAACGGACACACTCTTTTTTGGCATGGCATATTTCGATAATCTCTAATCAATTGTATAAATAGTTACCATGAAATCTAACTATTTAAAATTCTTAAATATCGGAGAAGTGAACCATCAAGCCATAAGTAAGTAAGCAAATAGTTCACCAACTTCAATTGGGACTGAGATATCAAAAATATAATATAAATGAGGAAATACCTTCCAGTAATCATCATTTTTGTATCTAGATTTACATTACAAGAGAATTGTACGAATAAATATTTTTTCTCTAAGACTAGATAGATTACGATAGTCAAAATTTCAATAAATTCAATGTAAAAACAATTACATTTGTAGATACAATTTTTAACTCTCGTTGCTGAAGTCCCTCTTTTACCTCACCTCGGGTCTCTGCCCTCCAACGTAATAGTATGTGGGAACTGGATACAAAAACCTATAACGAATAAACACAGAAGCGTTCTCAATGCGTTCATTCATATCAATATTGATAGGAATTATTAACGCTATCAATGATCAACGTACGAGTGTGTGCTGTTACGTGTGTTTGGGAATAACAATTACTACGAGACTTGTTCATATCGGATTCATTGAACATTACAGAATAAAAAACATATGATAGATTGTTAAAGTATTGAGGGATATAGAAATAACAAGTTAGCACTTGATTGATATGAATAGTTTTATTATAAATTACTGTTTTGGATACTAGAAGCTTTTTGATAAATATCCTTCAACCTCACCGTAGTAATATATTGGACCGTTGTCATTTTTAACCCACTTATATTTGTTTATATAACTATTACTTTATCTAGGTTCAATTCAATGTTGATAAAAATTTACGAATCTTAAATCATCAGAATAACCTATTACATAATTTCTTTAGATTTGAGCTCGCATTTGTGGCTGTTTGTGTTCAAATAGTAACACAAATTTAAATTGTGAAATGTTTATATATGCTATGAAATTTTTCAAGATTCTATGAAAGATTAATTTATCATTTTTTTCCAAGGATGAGGGTAAAAGTATGAGTAAGTTAAAAATTGTGCTACCTATACATTGGAGGCGGTAATTACCACCATGTGGTAAGACATCTAGTCGTTTGCCCCCTTTTCACAAAAAAATTGATTGTTTAACAATATTTTAGTCAACTTAGACTTGATGTACGAACACTTTTTAAAAAGAATAACAAATATTTCAACAGAAATATTCCAACTCGATATACCTAACAACATTTCTGACTGAATGATTTTGGTTCTTTTATAATTTAAACTCGTCATATTATTGTCTAATAACAGATATCCGGCGAAAAAGTAGTTTCATAAAAACGTATCGTGGGAATCCTGACAATAACACCACGGTATTTAGTAAACTGTCATAGTTGAAACAGTCGAAAGGTTCATTCAAAAATTATGTTAGTATTCAATGGACATTCATTTGAACAAGTATCCTTAGTGAGTGGTAACTTTGCTTACACACAGTTTTATATTGTAAAACATTTCAATATTCAATGTTGATATAATGTATAAAATTAACATATTCCCTAATTATCTTCACGCTATCAAATCATCTCATTGGTAAGTGACTAAGATATTTGTCATTAATTGAAACTAATATTTTCGGATTTACTACGCGATTTTTTATTTTTGACTATAAACTACATACTCCCGACGTTTTTTAAAAATATAAAAATCCAATGTCCGTGACCACACCGCAGGACTCGAGACACCAAGAGCGCATTCTGCGGGCATCCAGAGCGGTACGCAAGACAATTCAAAAAATCGATGGCGGTAGGTAATAAAAATAACAAGACCGACTGACAGACACTCACATTCTATATGTGTATGCAGTTTTATAATCAAAAAATAACAAATCACGTAGTAAAATCCAAAAAATATTAGTTTCATTTAAATGAATACTCGCGATAATCTTACATCACATTATATGTGTCTTTTTGTTGTAATCTTTAAGTTTACTAACGCTAATTGACTTTCATATTGGCAGGTTCGTTTGGTCGAATAAAATGGGAAAATATAAGATGTTCGTCGGACAGAGAGCTGGCGGTGCCTGAAGGCAAGTTGATGGACATAGGGAGGTTTTCCTGGGATTGGAGTCGTCCAACATACATTCTGTACGTATGTCTACATAAAACATATTAACATTTCTATTAAATGAAACTAATATTTTGTTAAAAAACTCCAACTGCAAAAGTAACCAAAACGGCGGGATTGTGTGTAGTTTAAAAAAAAAATAGTAAAAAAATACCCGTAATAATCCGAAAATATTAGTTTCGTTTAAATTTAATACTCGCGAAAGTCTTAGGATCTTATAAATACATAGTATTATTAGCTAATAATATAGTTGAAAATCTTATTTTTGAGAATATATAAGTTATGTAGTTCTAAGAAAACTAAATGAAAAAATATCGTCCAAATTACGTAAGAGTCCTACACGTTGATCTAATATTAATTTATGTCTTTAGATCTAGGAGGCAAAACAAGATTTGCAGTGACGAGTGCAGTGTTGGTGCATCCAAAGTATGCGATTGGGTCCGCCGAAGAATATATCCAGGATTGAAACCTGACAAATTAGCGTAAATATAAGTATATGACCTAATAGATTACGTATGTTAGATTGCCCAGAGCATAACGATATGACAATGAGAACAATTTAACTTCCATTTTTTTTTTTATTCTAGAAGACATTGTTAAGAGATTTATTAATGATTACTATAATAACAAAATGGATTTAACACACACTACAGAAAAATAAATCTTGAGAAAAAGTATTTTTATTATAGTAGATAAAAGTATGCTTTAGGTATATATAAAAAGGAAATATTTTTTTTTACTTTTACATTATACAAAAAGTAAGATTAGTGATAAAGTAAAATAATAAATCTGGTTTATTGAATCCTCGTGTGTTAAGTTTATTTCGTTTATGACTTATATTTAATGGTATTCATTATTCTGTAAAACGTAGAAAACAACACGCAGTTCCATATTATGGCAGAGCGCGACCAACAAGTTTTCTATGAACGTAGAGAAATACTAACCTCACCCACTGAGGTTTCATAAGAGGGGGCGTGACCACTCGCCAGCATGCATAGCTATTCTACTCTCTGCCCACAGCAACGAGTACGGCATAGGCGGCACTATTGGTACGTACGATAAGAAACAACAGCCTTGCTCATGAAATAAGGATAAATATATTCTAGTGTTACTAAAGCAAAAAAGTCAGTGGTGGCCTAGTTGTTAAATGCTCTCATGCAGGTAGGCGCGGGTTCGATCCTTGCAAGTAATAATATGATTTTTTCCGTGTCATATGTCCTTTCTAAGAGTATTTAGACACCACTGACAGACGGTGACAGAAATCATCGTGAGAAAATCTGAACTTATAATTATGAAAATCACCAAACCCCTCTTGAGCAAGCGTGGTGATTAATACTCTAACCTTTTCCGTGTGAGGGGCCTTTATTCAACATTGGGCTCTGATAGGCCGATGACAATACGACGTTACTAATGTAAATTCTATCTTGTTGGTGTTTATCTACTATTTTACTTAATATATTATATTTGTAATCAGCCCCCGTCCTAACCACCAATCTGCATTGCCTATTCCTGGGACGATGGCATACATATGAAAAAACTTGTATGCCCATTAGAATGAATGAAGGTAAGATTTTACGTATAAACTCTTGAGTATGTTTTGTCATCATTTTGTTGTCTTTTTAATAAAATTGACGTATTCATTTACAGATAATGGTGAAATACAAAAAGAAGTCTACAATATGCATTACGTTGTAAATCAAGAATGTGAAGAATTTTATTACAAATATCACAAAAAAGGTAAAAGACAATTATCTGATAGATTCAACTAAACTAATTATTTTATTCGCAACAAAGGTAAGGAATGAACAATTTAATTAATTAAAGGATATTTAATTAAGTTTCGTGAGATTTACAGAAACAATATTGGCATAGCAAGCCTTAATGTTGTCAGTCATTCTTAGATATGGTTAAGCTCGTAAAGAAAATTCCTATTTTTCGCGCACATGACAATACACAAAAGTTGAAAACATAATACTAGCGTCAACACAAAAACTACATCTCGTTACCTTAAATTGTTAATGAACCAAATCACATCTTGTGGTGACTTATGAGTTCTCTTACTCTATAAAAAAAAAATTTCACTAGATAAGAAATCACTACCATTTTTTTTTACCTATTATGTTCAGTGCTTAAATACTTATTCCTTCTGTCATCTTCTACTCGTTAATTGCATTAAGTACTAATCTTTATTTTTGTAAATAAAAAGATTTTTCGACATACAAAACTCTTGACACATATAAGTAAACAAAATTCCAGTGTAAAACATACAAAAAATATTAAAAAATTCATTAATATTGTTGTTAGCCTGAACTACAACAAGATGACCCCCCCTCCCTTGAACAGTATATGTGCCGGGCGACTGGTGAACAACACACGTACCTGTGTGTGGGATGCTGGGAGTAGCTTCTCATCACCAGGCAGCCCTGGGGATATTGGAAGCTGGTGGGTATACATTACAATCATGTGGGAACATTATAACTTATAACTATCACATAATAGATCGAAGCAGAGTAACCAAATATCTTTATAAAGCGTCATTTATGATTATTCATTTCGAGGATTCGGATCGAGCAATATTATTAATAACAAAGGAATACAGAGTGAATACTATGATTGCAGGATAAAAGGGGGTTAGAAAAATTAAAAGGGACATCATGATAAAATTTAAAAATTATACACACACACACGGGGAAAACAAACACACATTATCTTACAACATTCATATAATAGCAGTACATAATAGCAGTTTAAATTGTTATTATTGTCAATTTCACCCTTTTGTTCAGTATATTGGAAATATTGTAAGAAAAAATTTGGAAAAAACATTTCTTAAATTAAATAATATTTTTATGTAATAAAAAATAATCTAAAACAGTAACCTGTGTCTCTCATCTGAGAGTTCTACACATAGTCACTGACACTGTCACATGCAGTCCTCTCATACACTAAAATTATAACGCGACTAATATTTATTGAGTTAGAAAAAAAAAATATCAAGTTTTTCATTCTAGATGCAATAACCTCATCAAAATAATTATACTGATTATAGTAAGTCTACAATCTGTACCATCTAATACGAGGAGAGAAGCTAAAGGGAGCAATAAGATGTAAAAGTTTAAAACTACTAGTATTTTACTCAGAAAAATATCTGCCTAAGTATGTTTTTAATTTACAATACTGACCGAATAAAGCCTCAGATAGTTTATACGACTTTGTGGGTTCTATTTTACATATTGTTAATGGATATCCTATCTCTCTTTTTTCAGTTGGGTTTCAGTGTGCGGAGGGCCCGGCTGCAATGCTTCCCGCCCGGTTCCTGCCCATCCACCAAAAATTATCAATATCCTGGATAGAAGGGATCATCATTAACGTAGACCGGAGACATGAACAGCGAGGGAAGACTCTTGACATTTCAGAAGAGTGTCTCCGATCGAACTAATTATGTATGAGGGTGGGTTCATATTGGAATTTATATTTGTACTGAATGGGTATAATATCTTTGTTTTAACTTTTAACTTCTATGTCTGTATGGTCTGCGGGTTTCTGGCTAATCTAAATAGCAGATAATAAATGTAATAAAGGAGATTTTTTATGAACATTTTTATATTATTTTTAATAAATATAACTAAGAATATTATGTACGAAGTCGTGGTCATAACTAGTTTTAAGCTAAAAATCCTACCCATAAATACGTATGTAAACTCAAAAGGATCTGAAACTAACTAACATTGAACGATGCATAGAAAATATAATATATATAATATACAGTGAATCATTTAAATTTCAGGTACAATCCTTCAACCAAAGAGAGTTCGGTATTTGTGAACGAAAGATAAGAGGTAACGTGCTGTACAAAGGACAACACTGAATTACTGGTCAATAAGAACTTCGCACAAGGATTCTTCTTCGTAAGCATATAATAAAACATAGTTACTCGGTATATAAGAACATATTTAAACTAAGAATAGATTCATTGTAAAATTGTACGCGGGAGGAAGTAGGAGTGAGAGGTATATCAGACAAAATCTCTATAACAACCTACTGAAAGACCTGGGCCTGTCCAGAAACTAATATCAATTCATGTCTTGGAACGTACTTTACGAAGGCAACCCCAGTAGATTCTTTTTTAGATTTGGTTAGGTACAAAGAGAAGTTAACGTTTTAACGCTGCGTTAGGGATTTAGGGATCCCTCCTTAAACCTACACCTGCGGTCATAAGTCCCAGACACTGTTGAAGCTCCCTCTCAGGGGGGCAGTGCAAACGATAGACCCAGCAACAGCACGATGAATACATTGCTAAGAGGTTTCGTCTCATGTTTATTCTCTACCGCCTTTTCAAAGTCTTTTGTGTTGCCCTCTAGATAGTTTTTATAATCTGGTATTATATATTTATTTCTAAAACAAGGTGGTCAGTGGCTCAAGTGGTGGAGGTGTTGTGTGCTACAGTAATCCTGGAAGTATCGGCGAGAACCAACGCGTGCTGTTTGGATAGAACATCACTGTCACCGCGGCGAGCGTGATAGGTGACAGTATGAAAACATTTCCGTTTTAAGGAAAAGGATACAAATCGTAGGTCTTCAACCATATAAAGATTCATTATTCAACAGTTACTGGTCCGGGTCTCATACCTATTTAACAGGACAATTTTTTTGTTCCAGTCTTCAATGCTTCGTGTACTTTAAAAACCGAAAGCCCTACGTAGAATTCCGTTTCTATTTCTCCTTCAAGGGCATCCTTAGAGGTGACGTTATATGGTAAAGAGGAGAGTCCAAAGATTATATACCAAAACCATGGGTGTCTATTGGAAAACACTTACCCGTGGCGGCCGACTTACGACTAACCTCCGACAGACTTCGTTCATGCCTCATTACGCTTGGTGGTGCGGTCAATTGTGAACACTTTATATTGTTAAACACAGAGGTAAGAACATCTTATATAATCATACTGTTTTTAAAGCTTTTTTTTTACTTACAAGCATAGTAAATAGAAACATGAGATAGTAGATCTTAAAAAAAAACTACCAGTTTTCCTGTCTTCTCCACTAAAGATATTTTTATTTATAACTGATGTCATACTTCAAAGGATTAATCATTTATTTATTCCATTCATCGTCAGTCCGGTAGACTTAAGCTGAGCTTTGTGTGAGTGAAAGTAAAAGTAGAGTTAATTATACTCTTTTCGTCTGTCCGATAACAAAAAACTATGATATAAAATCAGATGTATTAATAGAATGAATTGTTATAATAAGCTACTCATATACTTGTTAATTAAAAACAGTGTTCTTTCAGATTTGGTAATAATGTTTTCAACAGACGGAGAAGTAGAAGTTAATAAAAAAATTATGAAGTTTTTGTGAAGACGCCACGAATGAATTCGCCATGAATGCCACGTCCGCTTACCAGTCTGACACTTTAAAAGAAATATGATGAGATGTCTGACACTAAACCTTTATATAAGGAAGTGTTATATAGTTTATTAATTTTAAATAAGACTGAAGAAATGGGGTTGGTGAATTGTTAAATAATGAATTCGTTATAAATGGACAGAAGCCCACCGACACTGATGATTCTTATGATGGTTATTGTGCGCCTTGTGAAGTGTTTTAAAATAATAAAACAATATCAAAATTAATGATGTCTTACTTATTTCAAGGGCACAAAATGTAATTAAACTATTTTGGTAAACGAAGAAGGCAGGCAAAGATACTGTTTCCCCACGGGTCACTGTTATTGGAAAGTAATTTAAAAACAAAATCGACTAAAAATTTTAAAACACTTACTGATTTTTAACGGACAATTTTATTTCAATCTTAAAAGTATTTAAGCAGTTACGATAAATAATTTTAATTTAGGTATTCAAACAGTGAGGAACACAAACACAAATAAAATATTTATGTACTTAGCAATGATTTGGTCCTCTCCTCATTAATTGTGTGGACATTACATGAGAAACAGGAAAACGCATCGTATGTAGTATGAGGAGGAAACTTGTTGTAAGGATATATTAGTTCATATTAGATCCCATTTTTAAATATTACCTCACCTCGTCTGTCCGTGATCACAGTTGCTACAAAGTACCCGAAACGTCGGGAGTATGGTAGATTTTTAACAATAATTAAAACACGCGCATTAATACAATAGTAGTTTCATTTAAATCTTAACTCATTAGTTTCAGATCTCATTAGATATTACAACGTTATATATTCCCTGGTCTGCTTCATCTATAGAAAACTGAGAGTTTTTTCTATTAACAATCTTCACTCTTCAAAAGCATTTAATAATAAAATGTATTAATTTTTTTCAACATGCTGCGAGGACAACCGAATAAAAACGCTGATAATTAATTTTAGCAAATATTAAGTTTTTCGTGTAGATTTTTGTTATATATCTATTTCATACCTTAAAGTCAATTATAAAAATATATTAATTTTACTTTTTTTTTACTTTTGCAGCATCATTTTCATTCATGTTTTTCTAAAACGTTTTTATTTTTTTTTTTTTTTTTTGACCATACTTTTTGTATAACTCACAAATTACACTCTGAAGCCAAGAAACTGTACAATGTACATATCGAATTTCTTTATAAAAAATTATATTTGTAAAAAAATGTATGTGTGTGTGTGTGTATTAAAAGTTACAATTTAACAATATTTATGCCCCGATGGGTGGCCATAAAATCGGCTACTGGTATTACAACCGATGAAACAAAGGCATGCCGCCAACAGATAAATCGGATTCCGTCGTTATCTGATTAAGCCATTGAAAGGACGTTCCTGAGCGGTTACCTCGAGATTTAAGACAAGTATGACACGACCCACAACATGACACTCGCCAGTCAACCGCGACCCGGAGATAAATAAAGCCCCATTTATTTTTTATCTATAGATATCATGTTTTTTTTTTTTTGTGTCCTAACAAACACTGCCTATAATTTTCTTCGGTTCCTCTCAGTATTTAATTTTATATTATACTGACGACAGATTAGGTCAGATATATCATTGATCTATTCCTATTAGGTACTTTTGATAGTTGTCTCGTTAAATTTCAACATATCCTCTGCATTAACGAGCTTTACAAATCAACAGATTTGAATGAGATATGACATATCTTAGCAATCAACCTAGGGGCTTGATTTGCTGATACATTAGCGATTAATACGGGGATTCCTCATTTATCTCTAAAATTAACGATCTGTTACTTTTGCTTTTGGTTTTTACTATTACTGTTGTGAAATTTGGGAGTGGTGTCAACAAAGGTCTTGAGTTTCAAATGAATTTATAAACACATACTAAATACAGTACATGTTGGTAATAGGACAATAATCTGTTTTTTTTTAGATTTACTAAAACTTTTAATAAGAGAGAGTGTAACTTGATCATATTCAAATCTTTATCACGTGATATGACTTTCTTTGTTCATATTTTTATCATTATAATTGATTCTCATCTTTCTCTCTCATTGACAAACCAAATATTCCTGTTATGAAAGGTCATGATCTTATAATTTAGAATCAACGTGTTTGTACCCTGTATATCGTACCCTGCGTTATATTTTAAAAATATAAACGTTAGTTTTTTTTTACATGACACATTTCATATTTTTTTTTTTTAAACTGTTTTTTTTGGTTTATCCAATCTCTAGAAACTCCTAAAGTTCTTTAAAACACCAGGTATTATTCCTAGCTTACAGGTGATAGCAGTAACTGAGGCTATTTTAATTTTAATTATTTTTATTGATACAAATAATAAAAAATAACTACTCGCTTATGAAGTCCCGAGTGCATCTTTTAAACAATATCTAATAATGAATAACTGCTCTGTTTATACTTAACTTTTATCCCAATAAAAATCTTAAACAACATCACCGTGAGCCGCTGACTTAATTAAAATCTCATTAACAGCCTCTCCCATGTGTGTCATGTATGTATCGTGTGTCTAGAGCAGTGCCACCATGTGTCAGTGTCCAGACATCTACGAGACACATCCGTCTCTAGAGAAGGACCGCCGCGGTCGACGGAGGAACGATCTGTGAGGCGGGGTTCATTGTTGTGTATTGGTTTCATTAAAAATATATATATAAAGTAATAAAAAGACACAGGTTATACCTGAACTTAGATTTAAATACGTAAGAAAGGAATGAAAATAAGCTATTTATTTCTTATTGAATATTTTATAAATTATTTATTCAAGTAATTACTTAAATATATAAAAATATTTTCATCTGTGACTGCGTCCAATTATAACTTTGAAATTTGGTTTTAAAAAAAAGAAAACGAATCATATAAATAGAATGATATAATAAAAAAGCTTCATTACATTAATATTAATAACCAATATATTAAATGTATTATAAAAAACAATACGTATAGTAACAAATATACTTCAAGAATATATTTTAATATTTTGTTAATAAATATGATCATACATATTATTTTATTATTTTTTTACTGCACGACAGTCACACAAAAAAGCTTACAGATCCATTGAAAGTCGTAGTATATATATTTAAAAAAATGTTAAAACAAATATCATTTTTTATATATAAACTCTTTATTTATATCAGGTTATATTTAATATAATTTTACTCATATAAGTCAATCTAAATTATCCCTACTAATATTATAAATGCGAAAAAGTAACTCTATCTGTCTGTCTATCCTGTTACGCTTTCACGCCTAAACCACTGAACTGATTTTAATTAAATTTTGTACAGAGATAGAGTTGTCCTTGAGAAAGAAACATAGGATAGTTTTTAATTCCAGACCTTCGAAAGGTTCTCTTGGAAACGCGATATAACCGGAACTCCACGCGGGCGAAGCTGCGGACGGAAAACTACTTCTCCCATAAATAAACAAAAGTACAAAAAATGTTAGTCTCAAGAATATATATCTAATATCTGTATAAAACGGAATAGTATTTCATATAATTATGTTGTAATGGGGGTGAAAAGTTAACAATTAAACTATGTTACTGACCACAAATTGTACACGAGATTAATATTTAGATAATATTGTATTCTGTACAATGGTGGCAGGTTCACAGCAACAGTTTACCACCGCCCCCGCACTCTATTGACAATATTAACTTTCTCTTCCACGGAATATTTATTAAGTTGACACGATTATCTTATTTGAATATTATGTGATTTATGAATATAATAACTCGTACGGTTAAACAAACATTTTGAAAATTGATTTATGTAATTCGATGAATTTTTTTTTTTCTAAGATTTCAGTTATTTCCTTATCCTTATTCTCTATATATATCATAGTTAGCTTATCATGGACTACTGCTGAGCAAAAGTCTCTTGTCACATGGAGAAGGTTTTGAGTATTAATCACCACGCTCGCTCAAGAAGGGTTGGTGATTTCAAACTTATAATTGTGAAACTATAAGTAAAGGTTTCCTCACGATATTTTTTCCTTCACCGTCTGTCAGTGATGTCTAAATACTCTTAGAAAGTACATATGACTCGGGAACATCCACATTGGTACTTGCCAGGTTTCGAACCCGCGCCCTCATACACGAGAGGCGGGCCTTTTAATAAGCCACCACGAAAACATATACCACATGTAATGTATATAAACAAAACTAGTCTGTTTTCAAAAAACAAATCTGTTTTTCCATATCAATTTAACTACATATATATACAGTTTTGGTCACATTCAGTAAAACCCAGTTTTATTTAGGAACAAACAAACAGACCTACATTAATACATATATTAGACTATATTAGTTAAAAACATGACGGCCTTCCTCTCTATTCGACTTAGACGCAATCGCTTTACTCATTAATTAAGTTGATAAACCAAACTATTCTTTTTAATGCTATGGCTTCATTCACACTGGAATTGTGGGAATATCAACGTTTTTATTTTGTTGGTAAAATTAATTTAAGTGAAGGTAATCAAATCAATGACAAGCGAATATTAAAAAAAATTGTAAATTTTATACGGGACATGTTGTAAATTATCGTTTATATACGGAGATTACAAATCAACAGAGAAAGCTAAAAGTTATTTAGTATTGTAGGATGATACAAACATACATGTTAAATAAGATTACTTGTAATTTTTACATCGGCTTGACGAATAATTTTATAAAGTACGAGATAAGAAAGAATAATTAATAAATTTTAAGACATATATAATATATAACTTTTAAAAGTATATAATGATAAAATTAGCCGAAACGGCACTATAAACAGTAATTATTTTTTTTAAATAAAATCGCGTAGTACATTCGAAAAATATTAGTTTCATTTAAATGAAATACTCGCGAAAAAAAAAATCTTAGATCTCGTTATATAGAGATAATTTATTTTTAATATAAAAAATAAACAATTAAATTTTAAATCCGTTTTATGAAACATTTATTAAACACAATATATAGGTATGTGTGTGAATCAACGCTTTCCAATTTATCTGGGCGTCTAACGCGTAAAGTAATTGCCAACAAAACAAAATTGTGCGTGACGAAAAAATACCGTTACACAATAACTTATTATTTGACTAGAAGACCTGGCGAACTTCGTATCGCCCTATAATCAAGAAATATCTATTATTACGTTTTTTATTTATATATTTTTGGAGTTTACCTGTAAGCTATGAAATCTCCGTGTTTTGAAGTGCGACAGAATGATTGACATATTAGTTAGTTGTCAAATCTAATGTCAAAAAAAAGCGTTTGTATGGGAAATAGAAAAGGGCTGTTTTTAGGGTTTTCCCGCAATTATTCCAATTTTTCTCACCTTTTATACCTACCCTGAACCTCCACGAACATTTCAAGACTAAGATAAGACAAATCCGTTCAGCTGTTCTCGAGTTTTAGCGAGACTAAGGAACAGCAATCCATTTTTATATTATATATAGAAGATTTGTCTTATTAACAATATTAACGGCTTTTAATAATTATTTCGAGAAAATTCTAGATAATAAGAAGAAACACTGATTTTATTTAAAAAGGCTTATCTTAGACTAGATTTATTTTCATCGGCTTAGCAAAGAAAAGAGTGATAAGAAATTACTTGTTCATAAAGTAGAAAATAAATTTAAGAATAAAGTTAGAAAAAAACTCATATTTATACAATAAATAAAAGATTGCAAAGCCACCTAATTGTTACTATGTAAAATCTTGAGTAGTGAACATCTTTATAATGTTACAATCTATGTTCTTTTTATTATTTACAATAGCCTACTACCTACAGGAGACATTAAAGGTTTATGAATATGTATATTATTATACAAATGACTTCATGAGACATACTGTTCACAATACATTAAAAATTATGTAAATATAATCTTATTGAATATTTAAATATCAAATACATATATAATTGATATTTCAAACTGTAGCTACCACGTGAATGTCTCTTTGAAAATATTCCAGCAAATCTTGTTAGTAAAAGGTTTTAAAACCGGCGGAAACTATTGGCAGTAGCAACAAAAACAGGAGTCCCGAATTGAGGGTCTCAATAAATGTTATCGTGGGTGGGATTATGTTACAGGAAATTCGTCTTTAAGTAATTAGCAATAGACATGAAAATATTTAAAAACTCAAACTATAATTCTACCAAACAACAAAAATAACGAACTCAACCAAAAGAAGGTGCAAAATTCTAACAGTACAGAAAAATGATAGGAATAAATATTAAAAAGGACACAATTACCTACATGACTGTTATTATTTTAAGAATAATGAACAAAAATAACAAATTAATTTGAAGTAGAAGGAAGGCTCGAAACTAAAACTGTATAAAATTGACATTACAAATTCAATGATATACGTTTTCTCAAACCAATTAATATACTTAAGTAAAAATTATTTACTATGTTTTATTATGTTATTGAATGAACACTCCTTCTATTGAATAGAGTAAACAAATCTGTCAGAGCGGAACAGTTCTACACTAATAACTGTAACACAATCAATGTTACGTGTGACCCTACTGATTCTTCTTTAACTCTATGAAACTCCGTGGTCCAGACTTGTGTTCATTGACTTTTATTCATACAAAACGACATGCTCTATTATACGAGAACTTCATTATAAGGTATTTATCAATTTTAATCACATCTGATTACTCGTATTTCTTATTTTGATTGTAATTACGACATTGCATTTTACTTATTTCCTGTTCCCGTTTAAGGTCCGTATTAATAAGAGGCATTATTTTTGTGATATAATAAACTATACCAAAGTTCAGTTTCTCATTAAAAAGAAAAAAATACTTCCACAGTAAATACTTTCACTTACTAAGTCGACTTTTAGTATATCTATGTTACTATTTCGATCTTCAAAGATTCCTTTCAAATTACTATAACCCTTAAGAATAGTACAAAAAACTCTCACTAAAAATTAGCAGCTACATGACTAAAAAAGTTTGCTTCTTTAAAATAAGTACCCAAAGCTTAAAGTGTCCCATTTAATAATCTTTGCATATTAATAAACATTTTATATACTTTCTTTAATTTCATAATACAATCAGTTTATCTATCAGTGAATTTAATATCCACTATATTTTAATCCAAAATTTGACTTTATTTCTTAAAGTTACACTGAAACTACGTGCCAAATCCATCAGCATTTAGATATTATGCCAAAAAATACAATAAGATTTTATATAATACTAGAAGACCTGGCAAACTTCGTATCGCCCTATAGTCAAGAAATATCTATTACGTTTTTTATTTATATTTTTGAAGTTTACCTGTAAGCCATAAATCTCCGTGTTTTGAAGTGTGATGACAGAATGATTGACATATTAGTTAGTTGTCAAATCTAATGTCTAAAAAAAAAAACGTTTGTATGGGAAATAGAAAAGGGCTGTTTTTATGGTTTTTCCCAGTAATAAATCAATTTTTTTCATCTTTTATCTTTTAACCTTCCCTGAACCTCCACGAAACATTTCAAGACTAGATACGATAAATCCGTGTTCAGCTGTTCTCGAGTTTTACGCGAGACTAAGGAACAGCAATCCATTTTTATATATATAGAAGATTAACAAACAATAAAGTGTAGAAATACTGATTAATTAATTATTATCAAAAGCGGCCTGTACCTTTAGTACGAGTTTGTATCGTCAC